CGAGGAGATGGTTTAAGAGATTCTTCAGGAGAGATAAACACCAATTCGGACCCACCTTTCTTTGATACTCTACAAAGGGTCTACCAACAAGGAGCGAGTCTCTAAATGTGAGAATCAAATTTTAGTATTATTGATAAATATTTGAAACTACAGGTACTTCACAAGCTTAATTAGAGGTCCTAGCGTTTCTTGTGTTTTTATGAAAAATCTTAACGTTTATTGATTACTGTCAACACTGAGCGCTCCGGACCGGAGTTTCATGGATCCTGAAAAACCCGGTGCAGTAGGTTTACAAAAGCGACAAACATTACTTAACTGGCTTACATTGCGCGAAAGATCCGTCGTTTATGGTAATTTTTCTTCTTATCTTTTCTAAGAGATTTCACGTGTAAATAACCATCGTTTCATCTTGAAAAAAAATATATCTGGTAAACTCGAGCGGGGAAAATTGCAAAACAAATTAACGGTGTTATCACGAGCCTCGCACAAGCTTGAAAGACAACGGTTGATACGGTTGAGCTACTGAGGTGCGACTGGCTTGCGTGCTCTTATAAATTGAAGGTGAATACACATAAAGAGTATCTAATTTGTGTCGCGTTCACCGAGGCCTAATCCATGTGGAAATTGATTGGTTACATCAGGAGCCAATTGGGCTCCTGGTTACACTAATAGCTTCAGAATCACTTTACCCTTAAATGAGTTTGTAAATTATGTGTGGTCGCTTTGTCAAAGATAACTATTGAGCAGCAGAGCCGTTTAAAATTCCAAATGCAAGCAGCTAGAACCACAAATAACAAAGGAAAAAAAAATAGATCCCGAATTATTTTATGATCTTTCCTTACTAATCCTGCCGATATCTTCAAAGAGTGCTCTACAGGCAAACTTTTGGACAGTCAATATGTAATTTAAAAAAGATCAACAAAAAATTTCATTTATTAAGACATCTTATTTACATCTTGATTGAGACATCTTGCGAACATAGGCAAACGGCAAAACCAAAAGGCTCACGGTAAAACCAAAAGGCTCCCGGAAAAACAAAAAGGCACACGACGAAACCAAAAGGCTCACGACGAAACCAAAAGGCACGTCAAAACCAAAAATTTCACGGCAAAACCAAAAGGCTCACGATGAAACCAAAAGGCACATCAAAACCAAAAAGTTCACGGTAAAACCAAAAGGCACACGGCAAAACCACAAGGCTCACGGCGAAACCAAAAGGCACAAGGTAAAACCAAAGGCTCATCACGGCAAAATCAAAAGGCTCCCGGCAAAACCAAAAGGCTCGCGGCAATATAATTAATAAATGATAACACTCTATTCCCGACATCATCATGGCAGGGTGGATTTTAATAATTGAGGAGTGTTATATTTACCTTTTAACAATCAACCCCACTCCCTCCCTCACAGAGCTCCAACCTTCCCTCCCCCTGAACAATCATTGTATTTGTGTTGTAAAAAAATTACGATAATATTGAAGACAAATTTTCATAATTTCTTCAAACATAAAAATATTTATTGATCATTAAGTGACGCGCCCAAAGCCCTAAAGTCTTTTGGGCTGTTTAGAAAATCGAAAGGAAAACAGTGGAAGACAAAGATTAGTAAGAAAACCTAAAGAAAGAAAGTAAGTCTGTTGGACTGGAAGGAAACTGATATGAAGTTGTAACCTGTAAGGAGGAAGAGAAGTGTATTTAAAGTATCCAAAGAAGAAGAATATATGCTGGTCTATAAAGATGGGAAACAAGCCCAATTTCTGCCAGGAACTGTGGAAGTTTTCGTGTGTTTATCATTATCATTTAAATCACAACTAGAAGCTGCTGTGCCTTGAAAGCAAGAAAAGGAATTATTTCTCTGGTAGTTAGATGGTAGATGCTTAAAATCATAATGTGTATTATCCAATTGTTAGAACCTAACATGAGCAAGATGAACTAATTATGGAATGAATCCTGACATCATACCTCAAATATTCCTTCCCTGTAAGGCGACGGGCTCTTGGCAGGTTTATGTGTTTCTAAAAAGTTTTATTGTACCATTTCGCAATTTCAAAAGCAGAATCCTAAACATTTTTTGGTTCATTTGTTATTTCTTACTCATTCTCTTGGATAGTCAGTCCTTAATTACCTGTCTTATCTCAGCGACGGAAGAACCAGTATTTTTTTTTCTTATTTTCGTCCGGTTTTGTCCCCCGATTCACCGGAATCCGTCTCTCCTGGGTAGTCAGTCCTATATGGGCTGTTGTTATCTGAAGGCAGAACCTTTCCTTTTTTTTTCACCTGCTTCTGTCTCTCTTGGGTAGTCAGTCCTATTTGGACTGTTGTTATCTGAAGGCGGAACCTTTTCATTCTTTTTTTTTCTTTTTTTTTTTCCATCTAGGAGTTGGTTCATTTTAGACTGTGTGTTTTTATCTTATAACAACTAATTTGAATTTGAATCTCAACAAGATTAAATTTACTTGTCTTGATGGTACATATCCTTTCCTTTACAGATTAACTTTTACGTTAACCATGAAAAATCGTGATGAAAAAGCCATGTTTGTTTTAATTAAAAAATTAGCTCTCCTGTTGCGATGACCAACGAATTCGAACTGAATCAACCCCATATAGTAAGTGCACGTTCCAATGACCAACTTTCTGGACGATGTTATTTTTGTCTTTGTGGTGTCTGGTGGTGTCTGCCCTCAATTCTCGTGGATGTTTCATTTAAAATTAATGATGAATTTAGGAATTTAATATTAACGAATAAAATACCTCTTCTCGTCACGTACTCCATTGCATTTACATTTCCATCTCCGCTCCCAACTGTGATAACTTCCCATGCCTAAAAATCAACTTGAGATACGAGATGTAATATCGGTCATAGATTGTAAAAGAGGTTTGTGAGTAAAGAACTTTTTCTACTTGTCTTTGTTTATTTTCTCGCAGCCCAATACATGTAGTTTGCAGTGTTCGTGGCGGCGCGCCAGGAAACCCCGGCAGGAAAAAAACTTCTAAGGTTTTACTCCTTTAATGATCTCTTTAATGAACATTTCTTCCTTATGTGTTGCCGGCCATGGGTGCAAAAACTCCGTTATGTATTTCTTTACAAGCCAATATTGTCAGAGAAAAATAGCTCGAGTTCTGCTGCGCTGTGTGATCCATAAGTGATCTCATCGCAGTTAGAGCTTTCTGTTGTTTGTGGTGTCATCTTCCTGAGTGGAGTTACCGCTACTACATTTTTGTTAGTGTTTAAAAATCGAGAAATGCATGGTTTTGGTGAAATAAATTCATCCTTTTCAACTCTTGACGACTGTCGAGTTGTGTGTATCAATAGAATGGGTCAGCAAATTTGCATTATATGTTTCGCGAGGCGCTAGAAAAAATGGTTGACCCTACGCGAGTGAAGCCGACGCTTCAGGTCGGCGTCGATCCTTTATTGTCTTCGGAAAAAAAAATCCTACTATTGAGTTAGACTGTAAAAATTTCTTTGGCTTACATTGTATGCTTTAAAGTAAACATGAGTTTTAGTTCCACGCGAGGGTTTAACCTTGAAAAGTGCATGCACTCAATTGACGCTGACATTAACGCGTGTCCCTAGCGGCCCATCTGGAAAACATTTGTATTGTGATAAGAAAGGTCAACTTAAAAGACTTGGGTTACTCTCCGCCAAAAAAAAGCAATTCATCCGCAACACCTCGATCGTACTGTGGGCGCGAACTCAGTTCTTTTGTGCCGGGCAGATCTCAGATCCACCGTAGCCTAATTTGCAAAATTTTTTCGATGGGCAAAGCTCGTCATAGTGAAGTGAGTGAAAGTCAGACGGCATCTACTTAAGAACGGATTAAAGAAAACTTGACACTGATTGGATATAAAGGCGTCTTGGGGAAGGTTTCCTTTTCCCGACGATTGGTAAGCGTGGGATTTGATCACGTGTCATGCAATGGAAACAGTAAAACTAGAAGTCCTCGCATCAAAGATAGGTTCTGTAATCATTCCAGAGAGATGTACGAAATACATTCAAGCGTCAGAAATACATCAAGCCTTGTTGTTGTGTATTAGGGTTCAATATACTAAAATAGAACAATGCGTGAATCAGACCATGTGCACTGCCATGAAATTAATTACATTGTTGGATATTCCAGACAAAATTATGATAACCAATCAATTTAGGAGGGTGGCTAAGCGTTTACGCATGACGTGTAATAAAGTCCATGATTAATAAGTGACTCGTGAATTTTACAAAAGGGGCAACTTTTAAGCTATAGTGAGGTGTGATTTGCCTCCTGAAATATACGTGACTTCTGGTATTGTTTCTTTTATTTCGCAAAAACCTCGAGAAATCTCTCAGAACCCGCACTGAGAAGATTGATTTGAAGATTTTCCTTTTATGTTCATGCCTGGATAGAGTCCCGCCCCCCCCCCCCTTCCCTATTATATGATAAAAGGATAGCTGGTGAAATTCCGCGAAAAGCATGCGTGCGCCGTGGGATAGTCTAGACAAAACGATAACGATGATTTCATTTTTAGGAGCTAAAGGCTTACGCAAACATTCACTGCTTCAGGGAAAAGTAGCACTACATCAAGCCGTAAGCAAATCACGCGAGAGTGTTCCCTTGGATGGAATTACCGAATCGAACGTAGCAGATGCTGGACTTGAAAGTTTTGTCAGTGATGAAAGCCACGCTGAAGCTACAGACGTTGCATATAATAGTGATTTTTAAAATTCCCTACCGTTATTAAGTGAACATTCAATGTTAATTTATTACTTTTAAAGTTTCTGTTATTGTCGCTTTTTCAAATATACATCAGCTCTCTGTTTCGCACATTCTGTTGTTTCTCAAATATAAATAAGTGCCTTGTCCCTGTTTCGACTAGGCGCCCCACCGTGTTGAAGTAAATAATCCGGTTCGGGTGCTAAATCGAATTATTATGGTCATGTCATCATGAAAATTATCTTTCTTTTTATTGGTTCCCTCAATGACACCTAACGTGCCCACAGTGAATCGTTCTGATTGACAGATTGATATGACAGTGTATTTTATATTTCATGCGTTCATTCCCTACGCTCCAGACGGTCTCGTTAACGTCGCACGAGCGGCACAGCACAACATGACGAAGCTGCTTCTCTTGAGTATTTTCGTTCTCAGTTTGTCTCTTAAGCAGAGCGCATCTTCCAATTGGTGGAGCCCCTACAAATGGCGTCATTACTGGGAAGATTGGTGGGAAAAACTCGAAGAAGTCGGTCAAAGCGAAGGTATTCCGCTTGGGCAGCAAAAACCAGAACGCGTTCCGAACGCTGACGGGTAGGTGAAATGTTGCAGTTGACAGAAAAAAGTTGTTCGGATAGACGAGAACAGCATCATAGAGTATTAGTTTGTACTCTGATGACGACTAACGTCAATGGAAATATTAAGAAATTCGTTCTTCATCAGTTGAAGCGCTGAATCAAAGGTCACCCTTTTCTTGCTGAGTAATTTCCGTTGTCCAACCTTTTTATGCATCGTACATAATGGTTTAAAAATCTTCATGCTTTTTGCTCCCTCTCGTTGTCGTTCAGAGAAAATGAGCAAGAGACGACTTTTAGTTTTATCGCTGGAGCTATGAAGAGTAATGTAACATCTTTTTTCGATTTGACTTAGGGGATCTTCGGATGGTGATTGATATTGTTATGATGATGATATCCAAAAGATTTGTGGAATTCGGCAGCGATAAAACCATGACAAATTTTTGCGTGGGCGCAATGCGTTTTATTGAAGGTCTTTTAAATTTACCATGCAATAATCAAAGAAAATAAAATCTATAGATAAACATTAATCGTGCAGCCTTTTATAAAATGGCCTTTCGTATCATACATAGCATAGCTGCAACTTCAAGATTTGCGGAGCTTATGAAAATGTTAATTGTTTTGTTTGTCAACACCGGAAGAGGTTCTCCTGAAACCATAGGGTATCTGTGTAAGTGTTCACCAACGCATTTCGACAGAACGTCACGTTTTTCACTCTTGTCCTTTTTCATCATGAAACTCTTGACCCTTGGATATTCTTTAGGGTTCGCTCTGTAAATCTACCAGTAGATTTGAGCCATGCTATCTAGAACCATCACGGTCTAAATGATGGCAGATATTTCCACTTCAGTTCGATTCGGCTTGTGACATTCGTCGTAGCTCTGCCCTTCCCCTCTTACCGTGTCTCCCACCTCAAGATCTTTGTACATAGTATCGATATCTCTTGGCTTCTCGAGTAACTCTTTTCTCAGTGCACTGTTGCACAAGAACAGCTGTAAAATGAATAGAATAATCCTCGGAAGTACAGTCTTGAAACCCCCAGAGTGCTAAAAAGAGGAGGGGGAAGGAAAACGCCTTCGGTTTTCTCTGGGACGTTATTCCTTTGAATCCAGCGGAAGTGCTCCTCCTTAGGCGTATGACAAGAACAGCTGTAAAATGAATAGAATAATCCTCGGAAGGGGACGTTATTCCTTTGAATCCAGCGGAAGTGCTCCTCCTTAGGCGTATGACAAGCCCTTTTGCTCCTGTCCGCACTCGCTTGATAAACGCCCAATTATATTGATAGTAACAAGAGAAAATGAAAACCTCGGAAATAACGTCTTCTCTGCAGGCCAGTTTTCTTAGTGTTGCAAATAATATTTTTGAAATGTTTTTTCGATTGATGTCTTTCTATAAAATCCAAAAGTTGAGGTAAAAAAAATCTTATTAGCTATGCGTATTTTTAAAATTGTCCCGCGGCGGCACGTGTCATAAAGTCACCCAGAATGGTGAAACAATTTTTCTTCTCTGAAGTGGACTTTCCGCCTCCTAAAGCTTAATACCTGTTGAATCCTTCACATAAAAAGTAATCCATTGAGTTAAAAATATTTTACTTTTTGAAGTATTTAACTTTCGAAAAATTTCCAACGTGACAATTACCTAATAAAATTACGAACTTTTCTAACGACTGAAATTACTATGTTGTACTTCTCTTTTCCATTTTAGGCCAAATGTATGTACAAATAAAATTCCGGTAGGAATATTTCGAAAATGCAGAAAAATACCCGGAAAACGCAGATTGCAGTGCAGGTATTGTAACCTCGTCTATTTTATCTCTTATTGTGTTGGAAGTGTTTAAATTTTGCGTGCTACTATATTTTGAGTCATTTTACACATTTTGTGGCGATGATGCTTAAGATTGATAAGATTGATGCTTTTGGAAGCAACCTAATCATATATTAACCTGTTGAGCCTATTTTTTTTTCCTTTCACCACACAGAACCGAGCAGCATTTTTTGACAGAGTATCGTTGTTGTCCCGGATATGCTAGAGTGAACAAAAGTCCCGGATGTCCAAAAGGTAAGTACAATCCAGAGGCAGAATCCTGCAAAGTGAACTTCTCAAGAAGAACATTAGGAAGTAAAATACAGTAAAACCATTAAGTAACCAGGACACAACTTGGTGCAGTTTTCCATATAATTGATCCAAAGGTTGGTGTGAATTTCCTCGACCAATCAAAAAGTGAAGTAAAGTAAAACCATTGAGTCTCGCAAGTGACCTGAACACAACTGGCCTTAGATTTCCGTTTGATTGGTCCAAAGGAAGTGAAGCGAAATGAATAAAATTATTGAGTCACACAAATGTGGGACACATATATCTTCAGTTTTTCGTCTGATTAGTCCGAAGGATGTCGCAAGTTTTCTCGACCAATCCAAAAGCGAAGTGGAGCAAAAGCATTGAAATCTTGCCTTACTTTTCGATGCTGAGTTAAAATTTGCTTTACCATGTTAATGCTCTGTATTTTACAGATTCTCAATAGATTCTCTTCACAGATTCTTTTATTTTCTTTCCAGAGCTTTACACGTCAGACAAGAACATAGTTGAGGTAGCTGAATCACTCAGTTTAAGTGAATTTGCCAATTTAATGAAGATATCTGGTCTCGGGTCTGAGCTGCAGGGGTCTGGTGAACGGTATACAGCTTTTGTTCCCTCCAACCAAGCATTCTCTTCACTAAAGCCAGAAACTCTACAAGAGTTGAAAAGTAACAAAGAGATACTTCGCGAAACGCTGCTGTTGCACATAGCTTCTGGTAAGATTGTTACTGAGGTAATGAAAGACAACCAAGAGATAACTGCACTCGACGGCTCACACTTGAGAATCAATGTGGCGGACGAAGGGCAGGTAATCTAAACGTCGTCGAATTTCGTTTCTCCTTTCCTTGATTCGTCCGTCCCTTCCTATTCTTCGTTCATTTGCGTCATTCCCTCCTTCGCTCCTTCGTTCCTTCGTTCCTTCGTTCCTTCGTTCCTTCGTTCCTTCGTTCCTTCGTTCCTTCGTTCCTTCGTTCCTTCGTTCCTTCGTTCCTTCGTTCCTTCGTTCCTTCGTTCCTTCGTTCCTTCGTTCCTTCGTTCCTTCGTTCCTTCGTTCCTTCGTTCCTTCGTTCCTTCGTTCCTTCGTTCCTTCGTTCCTTCGTTCCTTCGTTCCTTCGTTCCTTCGTTCCTTCGTTCCTTCGTTCCTTCGTTCCTTCGTTCCTTCGTTCCTTCGTTCCTTCGTTCCTTCGTTCCTTCGTTCCTTCGTTCCTTCGTTCCTTCGTTCCTTCGTGCCTTCGTGCCTTCGTGCCTTCGTGCCTTCGTGCCTTCGTGCCTTCGTTCCCACTTCCGACCTTTTTATGTCCTTCCGTAAGCAAATAATGGATGTAAATTCAGCTACTCTAAGCAGTCCACACGTATTCTACTCAAAATCAGTAACGTTAATCCAATAATTAACATGCAGCATAATATGATTGATAACCCAAGCGGAAGTAGACGAACAAAAAGGCCTAGGCCATGGTGTGCGCTGGGTACCAGACCCGCTATCTTGCAACGTGTGCTCCAATATCTTTTGCACCAGAGTTTTTAGATCCTTCGCCCGATATTTCCTGCTTCTACCTCGCTACTTTGTTTTATTTCCTTTCCCCTTTTATATTGCCCTTTGTAATCTCTTCATTACATGCCTTTCTTTAAACCTTTTTTGATAGACAATTATTGTTCAAGGAGGAGAAATCGTTGTGGCAAACGAGGGAGCAAGCAATGGTATCATACACATTATTGACCGAGTTCTGAGTCCAGCATCTGATGACATTGGAGACATTTTGAAAAGTAATCCAAACTTCAGTATATTCTCACAGATGATCGAGAATGCCGCGATGAACTTCACCAACATAACTTTGTTTGCACCGACTGATAGAGCCTTTGAAGTGATGGACCGCGAGAGACTGGAGACTCTTCTTTCCAATGAAGAATGTGTCGGGGTTCGTTGTCCTCTCTTGAATTTTCTCCCCCCTGGAAGCGATTAACAGTTACCTCAATACTTTATCCGGCAAAATTGTTTGGAGAAAAATACAGATTTATAAGAAATTTGAATTTAGTCACTCTCTGAAGTTCAAGTGTTAAAGAGGAAAGACTAAACCTACGTTGGTCAAGAATGGAAAGATTGAACACGGATTACGAAGAAAGATTTTCAAAAAGAAAAGCTTAAATTTTCTAGATGTAAACGAGGGTTTGCATTAACTTCTCGTTATTGGAACCGTCCAACAAAAAAAAAACAGACAACATGTGGTGCTGAAACGGCACGATGTGATCAGTTTTAATCTAAGAGCTTAGTGCTTCTTTTGCAGAAATTCATTAAGTACCACTTGCTACCTAAGCCAATATACTCAGCTGCACTGGACAACAAGCGATACACCACTGCAGAAGGACACTTCTTAGACGTTAGAATAAAGGGAGAGAAGGAGATCCTGGTTAATGACGCTTCTGTGACAGATGTGGACATTAGTGGCAATAATGGCGTCATACATGTCATTGGCAAAGTTCTCATGCCCGTTTCTGGTGCGATTTTTTTCCTTCTTTAGTTTAGTAGTCGTCTTCAGCCCTCAATCGATATGTGACGAACTTTTGAATTTACAGTCCTATTGCCTCACAACTTTGCGACCTACGAGGATTTAACTATCAGAGGTCCGTCTCTTTCTCATCTAATCAACTGTAGTTAGCGAGAGCGGGTTCCATGAGAGCGAGTGTTTCGATGGAAAATTGGGATTATGGAATAGTCAGGGATTTCGAGCCTCCACTACTGATTGATCTATCCCGCACCTCCACCCATCCCTCATCCTTCATTTCCCCCCTTCCCCCGCTGGTCCCAGTTTCAAGCGTTGTTGATTTACTCGATTCAATAATTTTGGCAGATCGAGAGGATTTTCCCGAAAATTGATATTAGGGTCATGGAATCCTTATGGGTTAATTTATAACGGGCACAATTCACAAACACATCTTAAACGATTCAGTCAAAGGTTGCCAATTTCAGACAAATTCTCTTAGCTGATTTTCGTGTATTTTTATCAGTGACTTTGCTAAATGGGAAACATATCTCTAACATATCTTTTCTTTCCTCTGGCAGCCATGAACCTCTTGGAGGTAACTAAGGTGCTGAACCTTTCAACACTTGTGGAGTACCTCGATTCCACCGGCTTCTCTGACACTCTGAGGGAAGACAAGGGACCGTTTACATTATTTGCTCCGACTAACAAAGCTTTCCAGGCCTTACCTGAATCAACCAAGCAGGAATTACGTGACGATCCCGAGAAACTTAAACAGTTGCTTGCCTATCACTTGGTTCCCGAGAGAAAGTGGACTTACGAATTTGGTAAGGATAACATGGTGAATACTCTCAGCGAGGGCAAGAAACTACGCCTGAATTCATTTAGATATGGAAAGGTATGTTTCACTTGAAAGCTACGGAAATTGTTTTACTTCGCAGTTTCTTTTGTTTTAATTTCTTTCTTTTCTCTCCATGAGCCATACTGTTCAGAACAGGTTTTTTCGGATGTTGTCTTCTAAAGTTTTCTGTCAGTCTTCTTACTTTCTTCTAACCGAGGCAAGAAATTTCATGCAAAGATTATCAGCTATTGTCAGCTGACGACAGACTTAACTTAATTGTGAAGGGTCGGGCTGTGCCCAACCCAGTGAACATTCATCCAAAATTCGAGCAAAACCTTAAAGTTAGCTTGAAAGCAAGAGCCTGGATGATTGCCCAAGTTAATCGTCCTTCGAACTCATCAGCCCGAATTTCTGAGAGGGATTAAGGGGAGTTACCTTGCGATGAACTAGCGTCCCATCCAGGGGAGAGTGGTGATACTCTTGGCTCCTGGTCGATTCATGCTGAGGAATCTGGGATAAGCTCCGGCTGGGAGACTTTCACGTTATTGTTTACAGGAATTCGTTGATCAGCTCAAGGGTAGTTGCTCTCGTACCTTTTTCCCTTTGGTGTAATTCTAGTGACCGTGATTTTACATGAAGGTCTGAGTACGGTAAGAAGTGTGTCTCTCGTGGTTTAGTGAGATAGCTTTTCAGGAACATAGCGTAGCGATTTACAGAGCAAACAATAAGCAAAGACAAAAGTAAAATATTAAAAATAGCAATATAATTTACTTATTTTTTTAAAATTGCCTCTGATGTTTGTAGGTGCATTCTGTAGATGGCGCATGTGTGACTAAAGCTAACATCGAGGCTTGCAACGGCGTTATCCATGTTATTAATAAAGTCCTGTTGCCGCCAAGTAAAACAATTTACGAGCTTATCAACTCCGACTCTCGCTTCGTTACCCTAGCGGAAGCCATAAACACAACCGCGCTCGCACCAGTCCTCCAGAATCCCGCCGCTTCGTTGACTCTCTTTGCACCAACCGATTGGGCTTTTGCTAAACTGGAGCTGAAATCTCCTGGATCAATGGAGACCCTTCTCGCTTTCCCTGAAGAGCTGACAGAAGTTCTTAAACATCACGTGGTGAATGGAACACTGTACACTTGCGGTATTCACTGCAAATTCAGCTACTGGTCGTTCTTTAGCAACCAATTCTCTGTGTTTTCCATGGCTCGTGGGGTGCTCAGGATCCGATATGCCTGGAACGGACGAGTTTACGTAAATAGCATGCGCATCATTGACCTGGATCTACCCGCCACAAACGGCGTTGTTCACGTGATCGATGACGTATTAGAGCTGTATCCACATGAATTCCGCAAATGGAAGCGTGGGGTTCACAGTCACCGAGCGAGTCGCGGTAAAAAACATCGACACCACTGACATCACTGATGACTTCCAGGAATTTCTTCAATTTCACATATAATTGGACACATGAGAGCGTAGAAATTCCGCCTTTGAAGTTTGCAGTTTTAATGAATTTATCGAGTGTTGAGGTTTTTTTTTTTTAATAAACTACAAAATTTTGTAATTTCGGATTTCTCTACATCATTTGTTCTGTGGCTTATACTATATTGTTCAGTTCTTTGTTTTTTTAGGTACTGTGTTTTATAACCTTAACCTTTTTTCTTTTTTTTTTTTTTTTTTTTTTCACATTTTTCAGTAAAATCACTCAATACCTTATTGTATATTAAGTGTAACATTTCTCTTGTAAATCTTTCTTCAAATATGAAAGTCCGTGCATCGATTGCTTCATTTTTGTAACTCAGTAGCACCACGCAGTACATGAATCAGTTTAAATTTTAGATTTCAAGATGGCGCTTTGCATCAGAAAACCAAATTAGGCGGTCGTCACGAATGTGTCCAACAGGAAGCCGCTGATCCAGTGGCTTCACCGTTGCCCCAAAGTTGTAGGTCTTCTCAACTTGTACCGCAGGCTCATAAGGGCACTGCCCAGTTCTCAGAGATGCGGGAATCTCGAGCTGAGTTAGGTTGGCGGTGAAGTAACCATTCACGGCCATAAATTTCTGAGAGATAACAAAAAAAGGAGAGAAAAATATAGCGTCTTAAATGTTCTGTTGCTTCTTTCAGACAAAACTTCGAGAGCAGCAATTTCTTTGTTTCAAGCGGAGTACGTCAAAATAGGAGATTTTTATTAACAGCAAGAAAGAACAATTTGCCAAGAGCGATTCAATCCGAGTAGTAAACAAGACAGAGGTAAAGGATTTTTAGTATTCACGGACACGCTATCATCTCCCTTCCCTCCCCTCCCTCTCCTCACCATTCCGACCGCCTGACGGTGAAGCTTTCAATTAAAAACAGAAGACCGGACATAAAATTTAAAAAGATTATATTAATTAAGTTTACCTTCTCCGCGTCGTACAACATTACCAAGCCGGAGTAAACTGACCAGTTAGGCGTACGAACAAACTCACTTTTATTTACAGCGTCCGTACTGAACTGAATGAAGCCCCACCTGTGGATCAAATAAAACAAGTACAAACGAAGGGAAAAAGTTAAAAAAAATTAGGGCTGTTTGAAATTTAGAACGAAAAACTCTGAAAAGGAGTCTGCATGTATGCCATCTAGGCAGCTGAACACCCTCCAACTTTTCGAAAGCGCAAGCGTGCGTCTACTGCAGCAGTCAAGCGCTCTTCGATGGAGTGTCATAAAACCAAAACCAAAGTAATAACATTGGCAAAACAGAAGAAAGCAAAATATCCCGAAGTGCCGATAAGAAATCAATGTAAAAACAGTCAAACCGTCTAAAGCGCGGGAAAACGCGGGCGACCAAGTCGCGACTGGCGTTAATTTTGTATCTGATTGGTTAAGAGAGAAGCGCGAGTTTCCAGGACAAATTACAGAGCAAAGTAAAGCAAAACCGATGCAATCCCGGATTATTCTCGATACAAAATTGCTATGTCCTGCAATTAAATCGCACGAAATATTGCCATTGCCCTATATACATGGCTGATGAAGCCTGGGAACTATTCGTGAGGCTTGGACTTCACTCAGCGGTACCTCGAGCAACTCTTTTGCATTTCAGCCCTTTGCAAATTTCCTTGAGTGTCCATAATGTAATGTAATTAGGAACAAAAGAGCTATAAGCACTTAAATGCAGATCAGAATAGCAGGTTATGGAAAGTGAAGAGGGAGCGACAAAAGTGATCCGGGATTGCTTTACTTTTGCTGTTGCTTTCCTTCGCTCGGTGATTGGTGCAGAAAACTGGCACCCCTTTTCGACCAATCCGATTTAAGACTATACCCGATCGCGACTTGTCCATGTACGTTTTCCCACGCTTCGGGCTGCTCGCTTGAATTTACTTTGAGTTTCAATGGCTTCCGTGATATTTTGTTATGTTCTGATTGGCGATTACTCTGGTTTTGGTTGTACGTCCAATTTAACCAGAATAGGATCAAACTGCTATCCGCGACGGGTTGAGGAAACGGAGCGATCTTCTCGTCCAAGGGAAAAAAAAAACAGCCCGTGATATTGAGCTCAACGTCTCGAAAATTAGAGAAAACCCATCCTGTAAAGACTTCTGTTTGTGTGTTTGTTTTTCTATCTTTTTATGACACTTTCTTTTTTTTAAGTATGAGTGGACCAACCTCTCAGGAAGGTGCATGTTAATAGCATCTTGTGATGACCACACCCAGTTATCTTCAGGGACATTTGGAATCTGCACAAAGACAAAAGTAAATTGCAAATCAAACGCTATCACACTTTTCGATTGTTCTTGATAAGGTGTATCCATTGTTAATCATAATTCTGAAGTGATATGACCGACCAAATTTTTTTTATACTGTAGAGTCAACATCAATAATTGATCACGGGATTTTAGCAACTATATCCTTGGTCTTTGTTCAGGGTATCACAACATTATAAAGTGAAGGAGAACACCAACCTTTTCATAATGTCCTCTGACATCCCTAACATGCCATTCAACCCTGTAAGACAAATCACAAGGTGTCAATTGCCAGTCATTATAAATATCTTGCCTGAAAACACAGGAGAATACCCCCGCACAATACCTGCTAAAGTTAATCCTCCACTGATCTTTATTCCTTGGTGGAGCTGAAGCTGTAGGACTGTGATCCACCAGGTCACTGAAGGGAAGAGCTAGCTCAACAGACCAGAATTTATCTTAAATGCAAGACATGAAAATACAAAAAGATCAGATGTAATCAGTTCAGTAGTTATGTTAGCATGAAATAAGACATTTTTAAATAATTGTGTAAAGCAATGCAAGATTGCAAAGGCTTAGACAACCCTTTGAACCCTATGCGTGACTTGCAGCTTATTTCTCATTACAGTATCACCCCAGAATCATAAAGGAAATGATCACCAACTAAAGCAGCTCTTGATTGTTAATTATGACCGTTGCAATAATAGTCTTTATTTACCCTGATTGAACCAATCATTTCTCCTTGTCACCTTTGGAAATACACAAAGAACAGTATGGAAAATAGGCATGCTGATGTTAGGATATAAAAGGTTAAACAAGGTTCTGTGATTGATCTAAAAACTTGCATGACCCTCACCACCAATCAATGCAAATCTGAAATCAATATTGCCATTTAGTCAGTAGCAGCTCTGTAAAAAGAAGACTGCCAGAAATAGATTACAGTAGATTACAATTAATAATTACATCTCTGATACACATCATAACATTTCTTAAATCACCTTTAACTGAAGGATCATCCACAGGTCCTGAGACATAAATTGCACTTTTCATACTTGGCATTTCCCAGCTGTTGTTTGGTGTACCACCATTAAGATAAGGCTGCAAATAAATTTATAAATTAACATAAGACTGTCACATGTCTGATTTTTTATAAATCAAGTACGTAATTCTGTTTTTAGTCACATAACATTTTCTACAGGAAGCAAACCCTCTATCTTCCAAAAGGAACAAATGTACGATATGTCTATACACACACAATGTCAATACATTATTTAGCAAACAAGCAACAAGAATATTAAGATTTGTGATCCAAAGATATGATCTTGATATACATACTGGAACTGAACCATTGGTTTCCTTTCTACCTGTATTTAACACTTATTGTAACGATGATCCTAGCTAAAATACCTTGTTTAATTCAAGGTCCCAAGTTGTGTTTATGGCATTTATTTCAAATTCTTTGTACCTAACAGAAAACCACAAAATTAATGTTCGTTGACAAGAAAACCTTAAAACATTTTATTAAAAGTGATTTTAAAATTCTTAACCCTTAAACCTAAGAGTGACTAACATCTAATTTCTCCTTACAATATCACCCCTGAATCACACATTAAGGTCATGAGAATAAAGGAAATGATCACCAGGGAAGGAACCTTCTAATTGGCAAATAAATTCTCCTTATCAGCACCTTAGGAAATGTGTAAAGAACAGTGTAGAGAATATGCATACTGATCTTAGGGTGTGAAGGGTTATAAGGAGGACTGAAAAATTAGAGTTATCCTTTCAAACTTACCAATGAGTGTCTCCATCAGGGTCCATGAAAACCTGAAAAATAGTTTTAAGAGAACAAGGGCTTGATGTAAATAATAACATGTTTCCTTTCAATGTTTCTTTATTGTTTGGTTAAAAGTGCACAGCATACATCACATATGAAAGTAAATTAATAATAAAAACTTTGGAATTCATAAGCTAAATCTCACCTCAAAGTCATTATCAAGATACACTACAAATCAATAAAAGACAAACACTTCATTAATTGCATCTCTGGCTATACTACTATAATTGGATATAACAACAGTTAATAGCCCAACCTAACAATCAGTTTAACCCTTTAACTCTTAAGATCTAATTGTTAACCCTTCCCTCTAACTGCTACACATTTCCAAGTGATAAGTTACAATAATTTGGTGTCAGATTGAGACAACAACTTTGACCTGATAAGCATGAATACACTCATGACCTGTCTGCTAGATAATATTCAGACACTACATAGGAGAAGTTACTTGTTAATCACTTCTGGTAGTTAAAGGGTTAAGGAGAAGAAATACTATTGATTGAATAGTATACTACCTATAAAGTAAGGAATTGCTTCTCCATTTTCAATGTAAGTGAATTGACACATATATGCATGACATAACGTACATAGTAGCTTTCTCAAAAATCCACTTGCAATTTCTTTTGATTCTTTTCGAAATTATAACTTTTTTCCAAAACATGAGTTGCCAAACTCAAGGTACAGCTTATCTGCAAATCATGTATACCTGTAGGGTGTTTAGGTATGATATTAAAAATTTTACCCAGATTTATCTTTGTCTGATATTTACCAACAGAATCATGTTTTGTTTGATTTGCCCAGACATCAGTCTCCTGAAGAAAGGCTCCAATGTACAAATACTTGTCATCCCACCTCATTTTGGCATGTGTTCTGAAGCGAGGTTTTTTCCAATCTGCTCCCTGAATATCTGTTATATCAATATAAGAAAAACAGAGTATTCAGTCCCAACATACATGTTTATGGTGTGTTTTCTACCATTCCTCATTCCAAGTTTACTGCATTAATCTCAAGTCCCTCCCTACTTCTCTGGCTTTAAGTTAATTCCCTATTCTGGGAGTTAAATGGTGTTTATGCATCAAACAATTCAAAGCTTCAACATCTACCCCCTATTCCAGTAGCAATCCAAGGGTATTTGACCGTTGTCCATGCCCAGGGGGTGGGGAATTTAACCCAGCAGTACGAAGTATTTCCAGCACAGTACACATGTTAAGGAGGTGTTTAAAGGTAAAGAATTTGCTTTTGCCAGTAGATGGCCTAGAAGAAAAGGTCTACAAGGTCTAGATTTTAGAGCTTGAATAGTCCAGTCAATTGCTGGTCAGTAAGTAGAAAGTCAAGGTCACTGATCTTGCCTTTGACAAAAGAGTTGACCATCAAATCTGGCACTTGGGTAAAGGGCATTTAAACATAATTTTGGCGAAAAAAACCTTCAAAAGTTCAAAGGCTCAGGGAGGTTGCAAGGGGAAGGGATGTTGAAGCTTTGAATTGATCAACACATTTCCCTCAATTACTAAACTCAAGCAGAAACTTAAAACCTAAAGCAGTTTTATGCCTGTCACATGACTGAATTTATAATTATACGCATGAAAGATATACTGATTTCTCACCAAGACTTCAATGCGACATTTCTTAACCAGGAGAAAACTATATACGCGTTATGCAGTTATTGTGTTCACCCGCCAATTCTGCCTTGTCTACCTGGACTGCAGTGTACCAAACGATTTAACGTGGAAAGATCCGATCATGCAAAGAATGAAATACTTGTGACAAGGTCCAGCATTATTCACAGCCTGCAATTAATTTTATGTCAAACCGTAGGGAAACATCAACCAAAAAGAAACATATATTTTCTAATCACCAATAAAATCCTCCGTCCACGAGACAAGTGCCCACGCCTTGTCGTCTAGTTTTCCATCGATATCAATGGTTTCTTGCTCTCCAAGGTGATAGACCACATAACTTCGCGGAAACGGAAGAACACATTCCGATGGATAAGAGAGAATGCTGCCGAACTGACATAACTCCAACACAGACAATAGAAAAAAATGACAATAAAATAATTCCATCACTCTATTTCCCGCTCATCGATTTTCTTGGTCTGGGCATTAATGAGAAAAATAATCTCCCAACAGCAATGAAGGACTCCGTTCCGTAAGTGAGAGCCTGCAATTTTTGCTCAGTGGAAATAGCTTTGGTCAAAAAGGTTGTTGTGTAATAAAAAACAAAGTATTTCAGACAATTAGCTACCAGTGCCTTTGAAAGAGAGAAAAAGGCTCGGTCGCTCACGTACTTTGTTGGTGTTCAAAGAAGAGCGAGACTTCATTTTACGAACGAAATTTTCCTTTCAGCAATGGAAAACCAGAGAAAAAGGCGACACGAGATTGAAGAGGAGTTATCAGATGACGAAGAATACGTACCTTACGTTCCTTTAAAGGAGAGGAGAAGGCTTGAGCTTGAAAAGCGAGAGAAATTCTTGAAGAAAAAGACAGAGTCAAATACAGCAGCGGAGACTGCACAAAATGTTGCGCCGACGTCTTTGGAGGAAAAAGAAAAACTTGAAGAAGCGCCCATTGGCTTGAAGGCCAACGTGAGCTTGCTGGATCAGCACAGCGAGCTTAAGAAGATAGCGGAAGCCGAAAAAGAAACAGACTACGAAAAACAGCTGAAAGAAGAAGAGAAGATTTTGGACAGCATTGCTGAGAAGAAAGTCTTGATGGCTGTTGGGGAAATTGCGAAAGGAATCGTGTACACTGATTCCATCAAGACCGGATGGCGTCCACCGCGTTACTTTAACTCATATCCGCCAGAGAAATTTGATAAGATAAGGAAGAAATGGCATATTCTGGTGGAAGGCGAAGATATACCACCTCCCATCAAGACTTTCAAGGAGATGAAATTTCCTCGCGCTGTCCTGAACACACTGAAGAAGAAGGGCATAACGCATCCAACACCAATACAGATCCAAGGCATACCAGCTGTTCTTACTGGGAGAGACATGATTGGAATAGCATTCACTGGTTCTGGGAAAACTTTGGTGTTCACACTTCCCATTATCATGTTTAGTTTAGAGCAGGAGAAAGTTCTTCCATTCCAGAGACAAGAAGGGCCTTATGGGCTTATAGTTGTACCATCCCGAGAATTGGCGCGTCAAACATTTGAAGTTATATCAGAATTTTCAAGAGCCTTGGAACTGGATGGTCTTCCTACTTTGCGATCTGCACTCTGCATAGGTGGAACTAACGTTAAGGATCAGATGGAGGTCATCAAAAGAGGAGTTCACATGATGGTTGCTACACCAGGCCGTCTGATGGACTTGCTAGATAAGAAAATGGTCAATCTTGATGTGTGCAGATATTTGGTTCTTGATGAAGCTGATCGCATGATTGACATGGGGTTTGAAGAAGATGTGAGAACAATCTTCTCATACTTCAAGTCACAGCGTCAGACACTGCTGTTCAGTGCTACAATGCCTAAGAAGATTCAGAACTTTGCCAAAAGTGCTCTGGTCAAGCCAGTGACTGTCAATGTAGGAAGAGCAGGGGCAGCAAGTCTTGATGTTATCCAGGAAGTTGAATATGTGAAGCAAGAAGCCAAAGTGGTTTATCTGTTAGAGTGCTTACAGAAAACTCCTCCACCTGTGCTGATTTTTGCAGAGAAGAAAGCAGATGTTGACGATATTCATGAATATTTACTGCTCAAGGGAGTTGAAGCTGTTGCTATCCATGGTGACAAAGATCAAGAAGAAAGGGAATATGCAATGAGATGTTTTAGACAAGGAAAGAAAGATGTTATGGTTGCAACAGATGTTGCCTCCAAAGGCCTTGACTTCCCCAATATTCAACATGTTATCAACTATGACATGCCTGAAGACATTGAAAACTATGTCCACAGAATAGGCCGTACTGGCCGAAGTGGGAAGACTGGAGTTGCTACCACATTCATTAACAAATCTTGTGATGAATCTGTCTTGTTGGATCTGAAGCATCTGTTACTAGAAGCAAAACAGAAACTGCCTCCAGTTCTTGCAGCCTTACAGGCAGAAAATGAAGGCTATCTTGATCTTGGTGAAGAACGTGGTTGTGCTTATTGTGGTGGTCTTGGGCACAGAATTACTGAATGTCCAAAGCTGGAGGCAATGCAAACCAAACAAGCTGGAAACATTGGAAGGAAGGATTATCTAGCACCTGGTGCTGCAGACTGGTAACTTCAGTTACTGATGTCCACTTACAGTTATTTCTACATCCTCGTCATACATGTATGTGTAGTGGTTGTATTATTGTAGAGGACTGTGTATATAGTAAGCTCAAGTTGTATGTAGACACAATCAACATAGGAGATACAACGTAAATACTGCAAGTCTTGAGGTATATATTTAAAAAATTCCCCTAGCTTTATACTGGACATGAAGAGGTTTCTGTAAGGTTCATATGTAGAGATAACTTCATGTGTGTACTTACATGTACTCATTGGCATTAGAAAATTCACATGACCTTGTTGTCAGAAGTAAACAGTGTGCTAGTGGCAAGGTATTGTTGATTTCTTTTCTCTGATACCTTCCAATTTTTACGAGAAAATAGATTTTGGAAGAAGGACTGTTTGAAATCCAGACAATGTGTAGTTTCAGAAAGAATGCAGACTACCACTAGAGGCATTATATATTAAACCTTCCCAATTATGACTGATCTGGATTTCCCCATGCACTCAACTTTTGAGACTTGGCTCCTGCTTGAGACCTCAGCAATCTCCAACTCAAGCAATAATTTGATGATACTGCTTATTAATAGTTTTCGATTATTGGTTTAGTATTAAGATAATATATGAATCAAGTTGCATACTCAGAGTATTGTGTATGCTTCCAAACAGATGTTTTTTTTTGTTCTCGGCCAAGCATGAGGAGAGCTTGATGGGCCAATCACCAATGATTTTGTGCACCCCTCCTCTTGCGGGTGTCTCACCCCTGAAGCTCTTCCTGTGCTTGCCTGTTGTGCAGGCTAAGTAATGAGCATGGATCTTTTAGATACTCTTGTAAACATGAATTTGTATATTATATTATGCATGTCAGTGTTATAGTCAGAGGTTGTATCATGAACAGTGGTATTGCTATTTATTCTGTGATTCACAATCTAAAGTAAACAGCTGGAATCACTACCTCCAAAATTTTTTTTTGTAAATAAGAGACCGTTTAGATCAGGAAATAAAAATGGGCAATGAAGTTATACATAAACATAGTGCAGAATAAAGTCATTTATAATGTAAATTTTGTAATGTTTGTGACATTCTTTTTGTAACATATTTTCATTGTTTTTTTTAGTTATTTGCATGGTTTGGCTCATTTATTCCAGATGTCACATCACAACATCATTTAATACATTTAATTGTTGACACCTCAATGCAGATTAGGTTATGTGTGTGTTTTCCTTGCATTGGTTCCTGTGTAAAACATTTTTGATCAAATTCCAACTTCTCGTGTGCTTTTGTATTTTTTCAGTTGTCAACCCATTGTTGGATTGATTGACTGACATTTTTTCTCCTCCCATTATTAGTCTAACCACTCTAACTAATGTCAACCATCCTTTCATCTAGACCATGGAGAATAGAAAAAGGAAAAAAATACAAACAGGGAGAGAAATGGGTACAGGGGGCATTGAAAGAGGGACAATTTTGTAAAACTTATAGAAGCAGATGATCAATTATCTCATTGTTCTCTGGTAGAACTTTATACAACTTTGTCATTTTAATTGTAACTTCATTCAGCAGCTGATATTTGTCAAAATCATTAATCCTTAAACTTCCAAATCTGATTGTTAATTCTCCCTTCTATACATTTTTCTCATAAATTCATTGTGAGAATTTGATGTTAGATGAAGATAACTTCTACCTGATAAGTTTGAGTATTCTCATTACCTGTTTGCCAGATAATGTATGGATATTATAGCCAGAAGTTACATGTTAATTACTTCTGGGAGTTAAAGGGTTAATACCACAACCTGTAATGACTAAGAGCAGAACTGCAGTTTTCCAGACACCAAGGATTGACGTAGTGATTTCTGGTCAGTGGAAAACTCTAGTGCCAGTGCTCAACAAACACGTGTTACTACGCCTGGTTGTTTTTGTTCTCGAGCTAAGTGGTTTGTTGTTCATGCTAAAGCTGTGTTTACTTTTACACACGTTTCGTATACAGCTAGAAAGATATTATTTCTATGCCGTGGCGAATTCTTAGAGCTCTACGCTGAAGATGGCTACAATTGTTAACCAGGTACTGAAAGGATGAAACCATTGAATACTTTCTTAAGTCATACCCCGGCCGTAGTCATTCCCCTTTCATGGATTCCGATCAACTCCTTGAAACCAAATCGTACGCATGACAAACGAAAATTTTCCAAAAGTGAAAACGCTACCATGAAAATTTGCAGTGGCTTAAGCCAGCCTAAGAAACTTCTTTGAATAAAACCTCAATCGGGAAACTTCTAACCGCTCAGTGCATTTTAGATGATGTCAATTTACTTGGCTTTACTGTTAGATTGAGGAAGTCGAGAAGGATATAAGAGGCTGTGAGGATGAACTGGACATGATTGATCGAAGACTTCGGCTAAAGAAATTGTCAGATAGTGAAAGGTACTTAATACTTGAATGCAATGGTAGATAGAGATAGAGATAGAGATATTATATCTATTTTTAATACTGTTTATTTTATAGCATTCACTTTTTAAGGGAGACAAACCAAGTTTTTTTTTCTATGCTATGCAGAGCTGGTCTTCTGAGAGCAGGCAAAATAATTTCAGTGAAAAAGATTTCTTACTTTATTTGGGCATTTCGCTGAATTTATTTAGTATTTCATCCCACTCATGGTGTTGAGATTTTCACTGGTACTGTTCATATATTAGAGAATGACTCGGATTTCTTACTGAGATGAACAGTAGAACACCTTTCAAGATTTACAGTGAGTAGGCTGGCCCAACATTTCATATGAACATGATAGTATTAGGATTTTTGTCATCAATGAAAGATTTGTAGATTAATTGTGTTCTCCAAAGCTAAGCTAGCCTGGTTGACTGAAATCATAAGATCAAGCCATTTTCATTCAATCTTATGTCAGAAAAAAATTGATTAATTTTTATTTTATTATTTTTATTATTCCAAAAAAATTAAAATTCCAAAAATGTAAAGTGAGGTGGCTATTACCAAAATTAATATTCATCCCATTTAAGTAAGACAACAATAACTAAATTTTAATTTTTAATGTATACAACAATTTAGAGATGGGTTAATTGACAGACAAGAGCAGATACAGGAGAAACTTAAAGAACATGGTAAGAACAGTTGAAACAAAAATTATGATGCTAATGTCATCAGTATATCACTATTTGCTTAAAATATGTTTATAAAAGACTTTCCAAACTCTTTCAACCTCTTATAGTTGATGCACCCAACTTATTTCTCCCTTGAGGGAAAGAGGGTTAAAAACTCTTGATATAAAGAGGGATGGCCAACTCAGCTTTCTTCAAATCCGCTCCTCAACCCTTTAACTCCCAGAGGTGATCAACATGTAACTTCTCCCTATAATATCCATACCTTATCCAGCAAAAAAAAAATGTGAATACTCAAACTTATCTGGTAGAAGTTGTTATCTTGATCTAGCACCAAATTCAGGCAACCAATTTATAAGAAAATTATGAAACTGCATGGCAGCTGGAGGGGGAAATTAGCAATCAGATATTGGGAGTTAAATTCTTAATACCTACTGGTACACCTTGACCAAATATTAGTCAGTATAATTATTAAATTGTACTCTACTCCAAATGCTTGTTCTTGCATTTTATTCATAGAGAAATCTTTGGGAAATCTACGCAAAGAAAACAGAAAATCCATGGCTGTGTCTGTAGCCATTCTAGGACTTTTGTTTATGGGATATCTGCTATTTTTTAGCTGATTGTGTTCTTAGGAATGTAATTTTGTCATTAATAGTTTTATTGTACAGAGATCTGTGAATAAAAACAATTGAAAAACATCCTTTGGAGAGGCAAAGGCCACATTTAATTCAAAATTAAAACACTTTGAAGTTAATGTCCCCAGTGGTAGACATAAAGAAAAATTGCAATTAAATATTAAATATCATGCCCAGGTACAAAATTTTTTCAGCAACATTTCCACAGAAACAATTTAGTTAACAGAGATCATCGCTTTGGGCCTGATATTCAGTGATTTTTCATATCCAACCTCTACACCCTAGCATCAGGATTTCATTTTCTCCAATCTGTTCTCCATGCTTTTCCTCATGCACTGACAAGGAGAATTGGTTTCACAATTCAATTTTCTTAGGTTGGTGATCATTTTCTCTATTCTCCTGATCTTAATGAATGACTCAGGAGTATTACTTTAGGGAGAAATTTGATGCTGATCACTCTTAAGGTTAAGGGGCTAAACACCTGGTCTCTCAGGGTAGTGTTGGATTGGCCCATATTACTTGAGTTTTTTCTCAAAGAATAAATGAACATCTTGAAAAATTCCAAACATTTATTGTATCATTTGTTATATTACTTTTAAGTGAGCATGATCAAAAAACAACTTCAGAGTTGTCTGTGGCTCTGTGGTTGAACACTAGAGGGTGGAATCCTAAATGCCTGGGGATCAAAGATTCATTGAGACTCTCTTACACATTTGCCCATGGCAAGAAGAATGAAAGTGCACAAATCCCATTTCCCAATGCAGTTTTTGTTTTAATCCTAGTCTTCTTCTTTTATTTCCCTTTGTGACACATAGCCCTAGAGACCAAGTCCCCCCCTGGTAAGATTTCTGCACAGCCCCATACCATTATAAAACAAAGCCGTATTCCCAAAGTCCATCAATTGTGTTTGGTGCTGTTTTCTTCATCCAAGAACTGTATGCATAATGAAGTATGCAACTGGGTGGAAATCTTACCTCCCTGTCACCCCACAAACAAATTCTAAAGATAGTGGACAAAACTGATGGGCAAACATCTACTATCAAAGACCGACCACGATCTACAGCCGAAAGTTAGGTTCGAATTCCAAGACCAGTGCGAAATCGAACCAAACGTGCCCATAGTCCTTAGCAAGGGTTGTTACCGATGTCACACAACGATCGTCAACCAGCGTTGTGTGACAACTCAAAAAAAGAACTTCTGGGAAAGCTATCGTTCCATCGTGCTCTAAAAGTCCAGTAATCCTTTCATAATACGCTTAAGTACGCGATCTGGATACTTACTAAGGTCAAATCCGTCGATCCGTGACTTTTCTGTGATTCACCTGCTGTCTCTTCCACGTCAACTCAGGACCCAAGCTTGGTGACCAAGCCTACTCACCTTGGCCGGCGAACGCGCCAAGTGTCACTAGCAAAGATGTCTTTCGAAGTTTTTGCGTTTATTTTGGCGATTCTGATCAGCATAGCTTTGATATTTTTCGCAATTTGGAACGTAAGTATGTGTTTTTGCTACACTTTTGATCACAATGTCGATTACTGAGGTCGTTGCTGCTTGATTGTATTTCAGATCATAGCGTTTGACGACCTTAAAACTGACTACAAGAATCCTGTGGATCTTTGCAATAATTTAAATCCGGTATGTTGACGATGTTTTGTATGCGCGATAGCTCTCCTTTTAAATCGTGTTATTTTAGGGAAAAATTGGGAGAAACTTCGTCTGATATTGTGGACATCATTTTGGAAGCTGGTCGTAGTTGGTGCCCTTAGTCATCGATAGCTAGCAAAGGGTGTTGGTTTGTAGTTCTTTAACTAGCACTTGGTATACACAATATTTGTCTTGAAATGTTTGTAGTGAAAATTTTTGTAGGTTATTATGATGAATTTTATTTCACCACCGTCGATTCTCTTATTCCTTTTGTAGTCCTAACGTTATCTTTACGGAAATTATATGCAGCACTGTTAATATGATTAACTGAGATATCTGTTAAGGAAATTAATTTATTATAAATGAGGCGATAGAATTTACTTAGAATATCAGCATAAGCTTTTGGTTTTAAAGCTTATATATTACCATTATTTCGAAGGGGCGTCAAGTGTTGTCTACAGTGCAGTGGGCATGCTGTGGTCCAATATTTTTCTTCCTAACAAATTTCTGAAGCCACTTTGACTTTCCTTTGTGTTATATTCGTTTAAATGATGAGAAGCGAAGGAAAATAACAAGTAAAAATGGCTTGGAATATTTTTATCCCAGTAAGGAGTGGAATCATTGCTTTTACATGTCCATTCCTGGCCTGACAGTCATAACACAATCTCATAAGTTGTGAGATCCTTAGGTGATGATATTCCGGATTCTTAGTTGTCCTTTGGATAGTGTCCTTTTCAAGGTGTATTTCAAGTAATTTCTGATGCAGGAAATCTAAATATAAGAAATTGAAGCACTGATATCAAATGAATTCAATAATTCAACATGCTGTTTTTGTTCCTTTGACAGCTTGTACTTCCTGAATATGGAGTCCACTTGTTTGTCAGTCTTCTTCTTCTTGTTGGTGGTCAGTGGACAGCTTTCTTGTTCAATCTTCCTCTTATAGTTTATAATATCCACAGGTAAGGCATTCTGCAGATTGGTACAATCTCAGAAACAGTTTACTTTAGATTATAATGTACTTAAGAACGTGGAGTTCCCTGATTGGTCAAAAACCTATCATTTATTGCACCTGTAAAGCTGTACAAAATTGAGACAAACTGTGTTTTTTTTTTCCAAGTTTATTTTATTAAAGCAATTGACTGCACTTTCTATAACCCACTCGGGATATTGGGAGAACACTTGAAAAGTTTGCAAATCTCTCCCTTTGACTTATGATTTATAAAATTTTTTTGATTCAGACCATTTTGCATCAGCTACTTTCTGAATTTTTGATCTATGACAGAAAGGAAATAATTCTGAACTGATTCTAACATCAATATCTGGCTAAATAAAGTTACTATGAGTTTCAAATCTCAAATTTTTCTGAGAGAGTATGCCTCCTGTAACCCTGCCCCCCCCCCTCCTAACCCTGGAGAAAATTAAATTTATGCTAGCTATGCAGCATGAATTAAATTCAACCCCCTTACTATTTATTAAATTTTCTAATGACAACCTGGCCCAGTCCTGTCTAAAAGCTTGCATCAAACTGAGGATGCTAGCTCACATTCTCCATACTGTTCTCTATACATTTACTAAGATGCTGACAAGGAGAATTTGTTTGACAATCAAGAGCATCTTGGGCTGGTGATCATTTCCTTATTCTCATGACCTTAATGGGTAATTCAGGGAAGATATTGTAGGGAGAAATTAGATGCTAGTCTACTTATTATTTTTTTTCATATTAGATATGCTAACAGGCCAGTTATGAGTGTTCCAGGCCTCTATGACCCTACAGAGGTTATGAATGCTAGTGAAATGTCTCGCTGTCAGAAGGAAGGGTGGATTAAACTGGCATTCTTTCTCCTGTCTTTCTTCTATTATCTCTATAGGTAAGTCAGTGAAAATTCAACAAGAGAAGTGTTCATACAATATTACTCTCCCTCATTTGCATGGATCATTTCATTTTGACACCTGCCAGGAGAACAAATTTATTTCCTTGATTGCGTGGGTACTTACTGCAGAAATTGGAGATGAGCTGATCAGAAAGATTTGTTTCAAATCACTTATATCACAGTATAAATTTCTTGTATGTACAAGGGACTGAATCATAATGATACATGTACATATACATGTAGCTTGTTGCGGGAAATAAACTGCACTGAAGTTGAAAGTAATTAAGAAGAAGCAAATTGGGTTTGATCCCAAAAAGAATGTGGAAAAAATGAAATAACTTCTTTATACAGGGAGGATACCAAGCTAAATCACTGAACTCTAGCAAGACTGCTTGCTATTTTTTGATGCCTGCAATATTTGTCATCATCCTGATTTGAGCATGTTCTTAATTCCAAATACTGTTACATTTAGAATTAAAAAAAACACACACACACACACAAATAGAATTCACACCCTTAATAAAAATTTTTATAACTTCTCTCCCTGAAATATGGGAATGTTCTTTTGATATACACCTAACAGTAAGTTGATAACCCTTTCACTCCTAAGATCTCATTAGGAATTCTCATTACTTTCTGCAATACCAATATGATGTTAGTTTGGAGAATGTGGTATTGGGTCAGCTACTACCCATAATCCCCCAAGGTTTATTTTTCTTTTTCCATCACTTATATATTCTTCTTGGTCAGGGTTGATTTTATTCTATTTTCCCTTCATAATCTTATCACAAAATTTAGGTGTGAAATTATGAAAGGATTAAAGGTTGAAAAAATGTAATTTCACATTTCATTTTCAGGATGATGTATGCCTTGTTGGCCTGATGGAGCATTCAAAAGCCACATTGTAGACTGAAATTTTTTTCCTCTTCTTGACTGGGACTGTCAGTTGAGACAACTAGTGGTGTGGATGATGGCGGCAAGGATTTTTTACCTCAAACTTGACCTTCTCTCATACATTGTGCTAGCTGTTGCAAACTGAAATATTGAAGCTGTATGTAGTTAGCAGTTATACTCAGTGGCTTGTAGTTCATGAAATTTTAGCTGTTCTAGCCACTAGGTTCCACAGACTGGTGAAATGTTACCTACAACTACATCTTGCATTGGAATATATAAGATCCTGACATTGTAACAGTTTTTACTGGGTTAAGCTAGTTACCATGTTTATGGCACAAAAGCCAGAGTTAGAAATATTCCGTCCAAGAGCATCTGAGGAGGGGCTTCATGTACAGTTATTTCTCTAAAATGTGAATATGGTAGTCAGGGACTACCCCATAGCTGAGTCCATGATGGATGGTAGATATGTTTTTTTTTTTTTTAGTAGAGTTGCACATGATATACAGATGAGATATATAGATATCTTCAGTATGAAAAAACTTTCTTTTACTCGGATAAAACCTTGAACCCCCAAAACTGGTCAACAAAAATACCTCTCAGATATTCATGGAGTTTCATTTAGCAGACAGATGACAAGATTAAAGAAAACTTGTTCTGATCAGTTATATTCAGACATTGTGGGTTTAAGTTTCCACTGGCTACTGTTGTGTACTTTACTTATTGATCACCAGTTTGTTAATAAGCTATTTTCCCGATCCACAGGGCCTCTGTTTTTAAAGTAGAGTTGGTGCAAAGCTTTGATTTGACAATTATGCAAACATAACTGATTTTCTGAAGAAAGGCCCTGCACTTAACCCATTTTAAAAGTGTGGGTTTTAAAAACTTGAAAATGGTTTATTGAATTCTTGGTCGTAAGGTGACTTGTTGGTCACTGTCTTGTAGCATTCTTTCATCAGTGCACTCTATCCTGAAGAGATTAAGCCATGAGATGTAAATAAATCATCCTAGCCAATGGTAGCCATCTTATCTTTCCTCGTGTCACTTACAGGCTAGGGCCCCAAACTGCCCATGTTTTCTGCAGCACTAAAAAACTGGGAGTATGTATATTTCTGGACTGGGTGCTAAACCTCAGCAAGTAACCCTCAGAATTTTTTTATTTCTTAATAATTATAGTTCATCTTGACCCTTTTATAATTCTAAGTGTAGCAAGGTGCTGTGAAAGTTTCAAAAGCAGCTTGCCCAAGTCACCTTGTCAAACATGCCTCAACCTCTGTCTTAGTTAGTTATGCTAAAAACTTCACCCTTTTGTTCCCAGAAGTGATTTAGGGAACATCTTCTCTCAAAGAATTAATGTATTATCCAGCAGGCAGATGATACATAAAGACAAATTTATCAAAAATATAAATGTTCTGATGAGGCCTTACACTGCTGTTCAAAAAGTAAAATCTAAAATCCAAGCTTTTGCTTATCAATGGCATCATCAGGTTACATCATCCCTGACGATGCCATTGATCGGTGAAAGATTGAATTTCAGATTTTACTTTTTAAACAGCAGTTTAAGGCCTCATCATAACAATTTTATGTTACTTTTAATTACGTTGCTGAAGGACAACATGAACAGATTATACAAAGATATTAGTTACACACTTATCTTGTTAAAAAATCACATTCTCTAAACAGTGGCTAATTTAGAACATCAACTCAGTTGATAAAACCAGATAACTTTGTATTACATTTCAAATTATTCAAGATCTACAAATTTAGCTATGCAGAAGGTGGCACTGAAAGTACAAAATGACTGACAAATTTGATGAATGATATTTAATAAATTTTTCTCCAAAGGCATTCAATTCAATTTGTCAATGAAAAAAAATATACCCAAAAAGTTACAATATTGTTTGTAATGACTGTGAACAAATGGTAAGTACAGCAGATTAACGGAGCTTCTCTTTCAGCCATTCCTCAGTCAACTCTTCAACAGACCTTAATTCAAAATCCTGGAGAAAAAAAAAGGAATTTACATGTATTTCTATATTCACACCATCAAGCCTCCTTGTGTAACTACACTGTACCTCTTTTACTTACCCTCACATGGGTATTAAAGTACTCCATACTGTTCTCTTTACATTTCTTACAGTAATTAGAAGGAGAATTTGTATAACAATCAAGAGCATCTCGAGTTAGATCATTTCCCTTACTCTTATGACATAAATGTTGGGTTAAGGGGTGATTCTGTTGGGAGAAATTAGATGCTCATCACTTTTAGAGAATAATGGAGTGAGAGGAAACTTATCAAGACTACATTTTCCCATGTGGAATGAATCAGCAGTTGGACCAAACACTCCCTTGTTGGAAGGCCAACTAAAACTCCAGGTGAATTCTGGTATCATACGATGCATCAGTTTTGAAAACGTACACTGATGATTTTCAAACTATTTGTGACAAATTTACAATTTGTTTAAAGTAAATTACCTTGCTTTGCTTCAGTTCTGTAGTAAGGCTGTTCTTTGTGCCAGAATACATCACATGAAATTTTGGGTTACAACCTGTTGTAAAGAGACAGGAGTATTCCCAAAGCATGCTCTACATAACTACTAACAACCAACTAATTTCACACACAATTTGCAATTGAATAAATTAAATTTGAGCTGCCACTTGAAACTCAAGTAAAGCCATGATCCTCACAAGCTAGCTGCCCCACTCCTAATGTGTGGCTTTGTAGCAAAGTCAATCAATCAATCAATCTGGGAGGCCCAGGTGTAGAATTCAAATACACGTTAGCAAATTAAGTGCCACCCCTTCGCATAATCAACACATGTTTCCTCAGAAACATGCACATCAGAAATAATTCATTTTTGTGCTCTAAACAGATCAAGCTATCTTTTCAACCATCAAAATAAGTCTCATCAAGTTCTATCAACCATCAGCACTAGGAAACACTTGAAAGTTCTTTCTGTTATTTTTTATTCTTTCCTGGTCAAACAACACACATCAACCACATCAATTGCATCAATTACTTCAGTGCATTTGAAAGTCCTAACAAAGTTAAATGTACATAAGGATTCGCAAGTTACAACAGGTTTAATTTAATTTTCACTCTGCAGTTCAAATGAAATTTATTTCCCTGCAGATTTTATTAGATTCCTTCATGGTCTCCTGGATGAGCTACTTTATAAATCATTGGTACTCTTAGCTGATAAAAAATGAAGTATGCAAAGAACATGCTCCTAAGTAAAACCTGAAATAACTTTCCACAGTCTGATTATTTTATGAATGAAGTTTAGCCCTTGTTTAAAAAATACCTCCCTAAACAATCCTCAGTTTAGCTGAAGGTTTAATCTGAACATTTATTTTTGTAACCAGCGTAAAGACAGCCAAAAGTTAACACTGGAAGGACATTCCAGGGTGTGAAATTAATTTTTTTTCTGATAGCCACTTGGCTTCTAAATTCTTCAAAGTGGTAGCCAAGTGAAAAGAAGTTGGTCGCCATTTTCAAAGACAAACAAAACCTTTTTTTAAGCTGTCAGCATTCTAGATAGACCCTCCAAAATTAAGTTTGGGAAAAGATCTTTACAGAGTGGACACTAAGATGGACGATATGCAATCTTAAAGCTCACCTAAATCCAAGATGGCATCTAGTTATCGATCGAGATGCATGTGTTGCGTTTTGAAACAAACTTAACTAGGAAGTTTGCCATGGATTTATCTTTGCAAATTTTTTTAATTCACTATATCTCTTGGTAAGGTTATGATGAAACATTCTAGTCGCCAATTTAACAACTAATTTCCAGGATTTGGTCACCAAAGTGAAAAATTTAGTCGCATTGGTGCCTATATTAGGCACAATTTCACGCCCTGCATTCATTTAATTAAAAAAAACCCTCTTGTTGAGGAATCCCAAGGCCCAATGATTGAGTAAAACTGTGGTCTGGGTTAGACCTCATGTAAATAACTGGCCTTAAGTGTCTGGCAAAATAGAATAATCCTTAACTGCTATTCAAGAGGGAAAATTGCAGTAAGAAATTGGAAAAGGATAAGTGATTGAATTGAATAGTTGGTGCTGCTACACTGTGCAGCTGGTGTTGAAAACTTCTCTGAGCTTACCTTGGGGAGAAATGAAGATGAAACAAAAAGGAAAAGAGACTCTTCCATCATCATGTTTATAAACATAACTAAGTACCACATAGCTGCAAATCGTTAAGAAAATATGCAGATTGTTGACAAAGACTACTAATTTATCAAAAGTATCCACAATGAGGTTGACAAGCTCTTCCAATCAGACCCTAATCTTACATCCATGTGGAATGTTTCAATTTAGGTATGGCTAAATCTGGGAAATTTCAAAAAGTTTTGTGGCAGTTGTTGCAACCATTCATTGCTAATCACAACTTCACTGGACCATCGCCAATGTATATTCTACAACTGATAAAATAAAAAGTTCCTGGACCAGTTTTTACAGCTTCTAGGCTTTTCAAGCTTTTAACAAGTGGTTCCCTGCAATTATTTTTTGCTAAAAAGTACAATTAATTCACTTGATGTCCCAAAAGGATACCGAGGCTGGTGTTCGGGTAGTTCCTCTCTTAAGTCATCAATAGATATATCCTGCAAAACCAAACTGCTTGTCAGTTAAACTCTGATATCCATAACACCATAAATACAGTAAAAACCCCTACCAAGCTGCCCCTGCATTAAGCTGTTACTCTTTATCAAATTAATGACTCAGTAAATTATGCTCAAAATTGACTGTCCATCAACACTTCAAACTATGAAAGCTTGAAATAATTTTGGCAAACTGTTTTTGGCAGTCATCTAACGTGTTGTAAAAATTTAACAACTTAATTTTTTTTGGTCTGAAGTCAAAAGTTGAAAAAATTTTCAAAAAAATACTCCTCAAGACATGCTCAATTATTTCTTTCTGTAAAAATTTGCCTCACTCTTTTTAGTTACCAGAGTACCAAGCTTTGAGATGTCACATAAATCTCCCAAAAAGAATGCCAGCAAATAACTGCTTATTCTAAATCATGGTCAGTAGATTACCACATGAGACTCTCACCCAAGGCTTGACAACACAGCACTCAAATGTTGGTTGTGTGCAAGGGGATCAATTTTGCCCCTCCCCCCCTCCTCCCCCACAAGCCAAAATTTCATAGGAAAACAAAAGAAACATCAGCTGTCATGTTAGTTACTCATGTGAGAGAACCTAGCTCTGACAGCCAGAAAAAAAGCACATGCACAATGGTTGACCACTGTGTTACCCTTGATAATTGACAGGTATATCAAGCCCTTCAATGACATGCTCAAAACAACTGATGAGATTCCAAAAATTTCTTAAGTCTGCAAATTTTAAGTGCTAAATAAATATTGGCAACTATCTTAATCATGATCATGTACCTACAATCTAGCACAACATGAACCCACCTCATGTTCCTCATCTATGACTACTAGATGTTTGTCAGGGTCAATCTTGACTAGAAAAAGTAAGTAGCAAAAAAGCAAACAATTTAATACTTAACTCTTTTAACTCCCATGAGTGACCAAGACAGAATTTCTCCTTACAATATCAATACAACATCAAGCAGACAAGTGATGAGAATGAAGAAAAATATCAATTAGCAGACTAGGAGTTGATCCAATACCAGTTTCTTGACACTAACATCACAAGAATTACTAATGAGATCTTGGGGGTTAAAGGTTTAAAAGTTTCACACTGATATATAAAATAATAACATAGCTAGCAGAGCCACACAATCAAATTCAGCATACGTAAGCATGCTCAAAATCCTGATGGTGCACGCTGATAGCGTGAGCAAATCGCTTTGCCAGAATTTTTTTTTTGCACAAGAGGCCATTGTTAGCAAGGTGAAAAATAATATATTTCACAAATGGATACAAACAGAGACTCAGCCCACCAGTCCCAAAACGAAGACAATTTTCCGACCTTTTCCCTCGGGCTAGAGTTCTTAAATGAGGCAGAAAAAGAGAAAAACAACAGAAAAGGAGACACAGCATCAACACCGTCACAATTTGCTTGCTTAATATTTTGCTTACTGTGAACAATCACTTCTGATATTGTTGCCCATTTTTCGCGTCAGATTTGATGCACAATTCCACCGGCTATGCTATAAAACAATTGGTTCATGCTTTAAGCTTTGCACTATCAAGTTATGGAGCACATGGGAAGTTTGGAGAGCACTCAAGAAGCTAGAGTTGCCCTTAACCAATTGTTAAAGAGTACTGGGAAATTTAGGGAAATAAAAGATATCCTCTAATTTATTGACCTGTACCATTCAAAGTGTCTAACATGAATACGGGAAGCTGTGCTTCTATGTTCCTCTTTCAAGAATAAACTTGTTCTCTTGAAAAATTCTGTTTCTCCAAACAGAATTCTTGATTCAAAAAACCCAAAACTGGAAACTCACAACTAGATTCTTGAAACTTTCAAAAATCCAGGATCAAGATTGGAGTTGAAATTGCATGTCTACTAAAATCTGAGTGGTACATGTCCCTGAGCCTAGTTCACATTCAAGGTAAAGGTGAGGTCTGTCGCCATAGTCGCAATATTTTTTGCTTTAAACGAACATTCTCCAGTAATTGACAATTGATAAGCAAAGGAAATCCTCTCCAGATATGGAATGCAAATCAATCAAGTTCTTTCACTAGGAGCAAGATGAAAACATAAGTGTACTGTGGAAAAATAGTGAGGAAAAAAGGTGAAGTTTGTGAAGAGCAGCCTCATTGCACTAGCATCTCTTAAAAGTCTTCTCCCAAGCCAGTGTACCACATCACTGAAACTTCTCCTGGTTAGCAGAGCATGAAGCAACAACGAGGTTTTCAAAACCCTCCTCCCCCCTAGACGGAATATTAATCCATTACAGCTGGGTCACCCCACTCCTCCTCCACATTCCCCATCCACAGCATTCGACAGTCCTACTTTTCGGACACAGTGGACATCTAAGTATATTTTTGACATTATATTTACAAAAGAGAAATAAACCAAATCCTAGTTTACATAGAATTCCCCAAAAAAAGATCATGTTAGTCAAAAACTTACGGACAATGGCGGCTATGGTTTTCTCTTTACGAAGACGAAATTTTTCTACTTTTTCTTTGACCACCGGGTCGATGTCGCAGACTTTTATATTCCCACTCTGAAAAAGATCCAAATTAAATAAAAGTTACACCCTAGGCTTTCATAGATTTTTGAGCTTGAAGAGTTTAATTTGCTGCAATCAGGCTGACTGTTTAGGTTTCAAATTCGTAAAGCTTTTCGTCGCTATTAAATTTTAGCTATTACCTTGGCGTGATCTCATTTGCTCGAAAGCAGCCATAATTTTTTCGGATATTCAACCACGCTTGCATTTAAAGGTCATTGTACGACAACTGATGCAATTTTTTTCAATTTTTATGGGTATGCGGACTGTGAAATACACCTCTATCACACTCACCATTCTGTCCTGTCTCTACGGAAGGAAGTGACTATGTATCCACGCAACACAACAGTAAGAGCGAAGATTGGGAACGAGGAAATGTCAGGAATTTATACACATGTAAACAGTACCTATCACACAATGAAACTCTAATGGGGGGTTTATCGTCGACGAGGAGGAGTATTCTTCCAAAGACTATTCGTTTTTCTTGATAACGACCGACACTTCTCTTCTTATGATCAATTTTAAGGCTATTTTGGATTAGAGTCAACCCTCTTTGATATCTGCAATTTATCTACGGAACTTGTTCAAATTGGTTCTACGCGCGCTATGATAGCTTATGAGCTCTAAAAATGATACAAATTGTAGGCCTAAAGGCGAACAATACGTAAGCAGTGGACATTCCTTCCCCCTTCCCCCTTCCCACTGATGAAGAATTTTTCAGATATCCCTACATACTGATGGCTACAAATTTTCCTTTTGTTCACGAGAAAGCTCTAGCTTAAAGGTGAATTGTTCGTGTTTCTAGATCGTGCTATGCCGCAAGAATACTTATTGAGGTTAGGTAATCTTTTATTTCTTTTGTGAAGAACTGACCTCAGTCTCCGATCCGATTGTTCATTCACAACAAAGGAGTCGCATTTGTAAACAATTCAAAAGTTTTTAGGTAGTGAAAGGGTAGTTTTCTCGAGACATTATTAATTGAAATTTGGTTAAGAATAGGATTAATGTGAACGCACCTGGCATGATTCCTTTGACATGATTCGCACGTGACGGTATGTTGAATCGAAAACACCAGCGAACGTCTAACGATGCAAATCGTGAAATCGCGATGCACGAAATCAGTGAGCAGACACAAAAAGGATTACATCCTTCGCTTCGGATGTGAAGCAGGCCATCAAAATAATCACCAGGCACAGTAGTCTCCTTAAAACCGCAAGTTATCTCTTAAATTGGAAATTATTGTTAAGAAAGCGTTCTTTATCTTTACTGATGTGTTACTCTTTGGATTGAGGTTTACAACGCAGTGCAAAATTCTCAGTACGGTACAGTGTTGCCTCTTGACCTTGTAACTAATGTTTACGTTAGCAAGAACTTGCCAACACATTATTCTTTTTATCGATTAAAAAAAATTTAATGTTCTGTATTTGAAGTCGACTCTCTCTCATGATCAATAAATACATTTGTGGACGAGCAACTCAATCCAGTTCCCGTAGTTGCTTCCCACCTTTTTCCCATCAGTTTGTGATGCGTAGAATCGTAATTGTAAGAGGGGATTTAGGACAGCAATATTCTTAAACAATCGAAGACGCAGCCTTGTTTGAAAACCTAATATTTATTTGACTTCCCTTGCACTGTTTTTTCAGCTTGTTTCAATTTTGTCAACATAGCTACTTGATAACATAAACATAAAGTATATACATTTGCATATCGGTTCATCTTAAGGGTCTCCTTATAACCAGTGTCACATTTGCTGGCGTCTTTAAGATGATGGCCTCTAAAGAACAAAAAGCTTTTTTCCTCAGTTTTCCTGGTGGTGTCTGTCTTAAACAGAGTCGAAAGCAACCGTTTTACTTATTCTTGCAAGAACTTTGAACATGATTTAGACTATGCAGATCTAATCTCTGAATAATTATTAGACGCAATATGCAAAACAGTTCAAATTTAACGAAGACAGCGGATGCAATATCACCATATAATGAGCAGCAACTATTTTCAAGATTTTTCTCGACGTACAATCCGACCTTAACTCTTTAGACGCTGACACCAGTATGCACATTCTTCTTACTGTTCCTTATACATTTCCTAAGAGGCCGACAAGAATAATTTGTTCAAACATCGAGGGCTTCTTAAGTTAGTGATCACTTCCTTCATTTTCCTGACATTAATGTTTGACTCAGGGGTGATATTGTAGCGAGAAATTACATGCTAGTCACTCCTATGGGTAAAAATATTAAGAAACGTGTATTGCTTCAAACCGAAATTCGCAAAAATTGAATCAGTCCTCAAGTAGTTTTCCTTCCCTACAGGTGTACGCATAGAGCAAATTGCGGTATAATAATGAGGAGCTTTAGATAAGGTAACAAAGGGTATTCTCCTTCAAATACGAGAAGCTGTTGTGAAGCTTAACGAGGTCCTACTTTTCAAAAATAATATATACAAATATATCACAAAGTACCAACTAGCAAAAAAGTGACATAAAAAACAGCTAACATGAACTAAGTTCGGGGAAAAGATTCCCGAGCTGTAGAAATAAGAAAGAGTAATGTATCAATGAAGTGGCGATGGATGCTGAAAACTAGGCATCATTTTTCTGTGAACCCCTTCTAATCTCGTAAAAAATACGGATAGTTTATAATTGTGAATCTTTTTCACGTGGGAATTCCGATGATCAGATCGAGAGAAAGACCGGGCGCAGTATGGACAATGATATGGTTTTTCCCCAGTGTGCTTTCGAAAATGGCGCTTTCTTTCGTCACTTCGTCTAAATTTCATTTTACATGTCTTCCATGGGCACGTAAAAGGTCTTTCTCCGGTGTGAATTCTCATGTGGTCTTTTAGAGCAGATCGTTTAGGAAAGGATTTAGAGCAACCTGGTATGTTGCATCTAAAGACCTTCTTAGAACAGAGAAGTTCCTTTAGGACCAGGCTATCTTTTGATTTGCAAATTAAGAGTTCAGTGTTTGGTGACTTTCCAAAGCTTAATTCATGTAATCTTTCACATTCAGGAGGCTGACTTCTCCTGCTGATTCCAGTTTGCCCAAAGGTAAGATTTTGGTTGGGAGCAGACAGCCTATTTTGATGAACCAGACCATCCTCGAGGGGCCAGTTGGAGATATCCACTAGACGCTCTACAGTTTGGGTCTGGCTTGTTTGAGAGGAGATCTGAGGCAGGTGGGGCTCACTCATTGAGATGGAATGGATTGGGTTTCTCGCCTTCTCAGTGGCATAGTTTATGTGGGTCTTACAACGTTTTAGCGGCATCATTTCGTCGCACATTTTAAATTTTTCACCATTTGTTAATGGATGTTCTTCGTGAGTGCGTGCTCTATTAATTTCTCTGCTTTTCGAAGCATGATACTCTTCTGCTGATCTCTTGGACATGGGTGTCATCTGAGCATTGCCATGGCAATGAGATGCAAGCTGAGATGGTCTTGACTTATGATAACTCCTGCTTTTAGCTGAGCCCACTTTTGGATTCGATTGCTCGTTAAAGTTATCTGCATTTGCATTTTGAACATCAGGATGAGTGGCACGTTCAGATGAGACCATTCCGTTCAGTTGAACAAAGTATTTCGGTTGCGGGTTTTTTCGCAACACAGCAGTGGTTTGAGAAATGTCTTTCATCCATGCTTCGCTGGGCAACTCCTCGTCCGTTCCCACCAGGAGGGTATTGTCGGTAATTTCATTAAAATGATCGAAGAAAAAGCAACTGTTTGCTCTAGACGAGTAAGCTCTGCTCTCTGGGAGACATAGTTTTGCGGTTCCTTCTTCCACCACTTGTTGAGCATAAAAATGAACGTTCCCCTGATTTCTCCTCGAAAACGAGGTGCCTTTGTCACGAATGTTGTGTGTAGCATCAACTCCTACATCCAATTTGTGCACGACTCCTAAGGTAGGTGTGCGACAGACGTCTCTAAAGCATACTTCACTAGGCATCTTCTCAATTGCCCTCAACATGAGGCTGTCGTTTGTATCTTCACTGAACCCGCAAATATTTTTAGAAACAAAGCGGTGACCGTCTGTTCTCGAAGAGCAGGTTCTGCCCTTAGGGCTATAGAATTTTGAGTTTCCTCTTCCAGTCATTTTTTGAGCAGTGAAATTATTTGTCTCTTGACTTCTTCTGAAAAAATCAGGAAAACAGTCGTTGAAATAGTTGTTTGAAGCTTTGCATTCCTTTCCAGAATTTTTCATGATTTCCACGGCAAGGGAAGGACAAACATCTGCCATCCACGCTTCATTAGGTTCCTTCTCGATTGTCCTCATTGAGTGGCTATTGTCGGTATCTTCATTATGCCCACAAACACGTTCATAAACAAACTGGCCGTCTGTTCTAGAGAAGAAAGCTCTGCTTTCTGGCGTAAACAATTCAACGTTTCCTTTTCCCACCATTTGTAGCGGTGTGAAATTATTATTTGCACAGCGTCTTTTAAAAAACGTGGTGGTTTTGTCAGTAAAGCTGTCGCCAACATAAGGTGCTTTATAGTGCATGCCATTGTTCTGGATTTCTCCTCCACTAATTGTACAGTTTTGTAGCTCTTCCACTGCGTTCTGCTGATCTAGACTGATGTCTTCCATGGAAGTTTTCGCTCTTCGATGAAAAGGGCTCGACTCTGTTACCACTTGTTGTAGGGGAGGTTGTAGGAACGGATGGACGGGCGTTCCAATATGCACCGCTTGGGTAGATCTATCCCCATCTTCTCTCAAGGAAAGGGTATTTTGTTCAGGCATGTTTGATATGCCTGAAATATCACATGATCCTTGCATGGAATCGTCTTGAAAGGAGTAATATACCCTCTCCAAAGCGAAGCCGTTTCCAGGCTCAGCTTGTCCGTCCATTCTGCCATTTTCTGGAGTTCTTTCCTCGCCGAAGAGCACATTACTAACGAAACTCTCGCGTGAGCGCCTTTCTCTTTCCATGCTAACAACAGTACGAAGAAAATTTGCTAGTTCTGTCTCACTGTTATTTGTCAGACGTGCCATTTTTGTAAGGGGTTCAGCTCTCAGGCTTCTCTTTGATAATCAGTCTGCCAGGAGATGTTCCTCCAGCACTAAGATTCTTCTTTCTCTTCTTGTTAGGCTTTCTTTCCCCGTCAGGGTTACAGTGTAACTCATCCCACCTACGCAGTTCGCCCAACTGTTATACTTGAGTGCTATTCAACTAAACTAATGCTTTCAAGCAAGAACATACACGCCGATCTTGAATAATTCAGGAGGATAATCATCTCCGCTTCATTGCTCATACGTTTAGACAAACATCTCACGTCGTAGTTATTAAAAATTTGGGGGGAGTGGGACAATGTTATTCACATTAGTTGTGTGTTGTAATCATGTCTTTCATTTTAATCCCTCTCTGCAAACTTATTTCAAAAAAAATATTCAAACGATTATAGGTATCTGAAGGGCGGTGCACTAATGTGTTTAGGCGGCAAATCAGATGTAAACTCCCATTGAAAACTTCTTTCTCTCTCCTCACAATCTTGATATTGCGCCCATTGATACACAAGCAGCCTAAGTGCGGGATTCCTAGTATTAAGAACTTCGTTTCGGTCAGAAATCAGAAAATATAGAGAAAGAGGCAGTCGTATTATTGAAGAAACGCTCAGTTGGCGAGTAACGATAAGCGAATAAGGCGCCATGCGCGGTCTCTAACTTGTTTATGTTCATTTTTTGAAAGGAGTGTATGACCACAAAAAGACACCCGAAGGGCCGTCAGGAAAAGCTAATAAAATAACTCAGCGGGTGTTGTTCCAGAAATTGGACGATTTGATTTATCCGATCCTAGAAAGGATTGATTGATCGATATTGTGGAAAAACCAGCCAAGCGATGATGGAAGTGACGAACAGAGTAGATAAATAAAAATTAAATTAGAGTTCACTAGCTATACAGAGGTATGTCAAGGACTAATTGTTGCATTGGAACGGCTTTGGACCTCAAGTCATACAAACCTCTCCTGTCGAACAATGCTGTTCATTAAAATGGTTAGCATGCCTAGGCAAAGCCTGCTGGCTTGCAGAACTTTCTGGCCTATCTTAAAAAAAACGTAGCTTCATTCAAGACTTCAAAAATTAGAATGCTATCATCACCTTCTCATTGAAAACACTGTTAGAGAAATAATTCCAAAATTAATCGTATTTTTTGTTCTCTCGTGTACAGAAAAGTGCGTGGTCAACTCGTATCAAGCGAATTAAATACAGAGTTGCAATTAAGAGAGAGAGCAGTTCAGAATTCCTTATGACTAATGAGCTGGTATATGTCTCGAGGAATGAATATATATAAAGACAGAAACCTTCTCTCAGCATTTTGCTTAGCGGATCATTCCTTCTCAGCTTGTTTAAACTAGATTTGTATATAGATTTGCCCCTCACGCGGAAGAGACATAAATAGTCACTCGAAATAAGTTTGCATCGAAGAAATCGCCTGTAATATTGTCTCTAATGTTTCATTTTACTCTCTTTAAATTAATGACGCATATTCGAGGAAATTTACCGTTTGAGTATCTTTTTTCATGGCTTTCTATCAAACCCTCGTAAGCCCAGACGAGTGTTTACGTTCCGTAATTCAGACTTTCAAAACATAAAAGAAAGGAAAGACATTCAATGGCTGCTTTGTCTAGTTTCAGTGGGCATAAAATGCGTGGGAATCTTAACTACGTGCACCGGTGTTGTTGCCGATGCGACAAATGAAAGAGACTCTGCGTGGAATCGAACGGCGAAACATTTTCTCCAGCAGCGTGGAATGTTTACTATTTTGATATAGCGTACAACCTGGAAGGAGATCGGATTAGTATCACTTGGTGAAGGCCTTAGTAAACTGATCCTTAGAAATATTTTCTTTTGTTTTCGAGAAGGTAATTGATCTTTTTTAAAAGCTGACAACGCGTTCGTGCTTCTCGCTAGTTTGTGAGCCAAAAATACTCAGAGAGGTTAACAGACCTTTGAGTTACAATGATCAGAATCGACCTCTGTCTCTGATCCGATTATTCATCATGACAGTTATGACCACTATTCCAAGGCCGTCAGTTTTTGACGAGTTTTATCTGCTCATTTAGAGAAATGATTGCGGTGTCTGCTAGCTTTCCACCTGATCTTACACGGTGACATCAACTTCCCTCCACCCTCCTTCAAAAGTCTTTCTACGGTTTTCTCGAAAATTCTGTTAAACTACGGAGAAAGAGACGTTTTCTGCTTCAAAGATAATTCGTCTTGGCTGTGAACTTGCGGTTTTCCATCGATATCCTCCTTTCTTGGGTGCTGATTACCTTTTTGCGGATATTGGATGCAAACTGAGAAAAATTACCACGAGCGACCAAGCATGATGTGTCAATTGAGTGATTTGCCCCCCTTTCGTAAAACAACATTCAAATAGTCACTGTTTGGATACCCTGGAATAAGTCTTCGCTTACTTCTTTTACACTTGTTATCCCCTCTGGCATTCTTCGTTCTTTGAGGAACAGTTAATTCCCTTTATCGCGAAGTAGCCAGTAAGGCTGCTTTTCGTCCAACGTCTGATCTTAAGACTTCAATTCTTGATATGCTATCAAAATTACCAAGGAAAGGTTCTACCTCGGTTTAAACATCCTGATTCAGATGAGATCGTTTTTCGCTCACGAATTTTTAGTGGACGGTTTTTATGATTTTCTTTAATGTCAGTTGGTTTATAGTATGGCCAGAGTCATACTTTAATCAAGGTACTATGTATCAAGGAATAAAGTTCGTCAATAGTTTTCACGTTTTGGACGTGTTGCTCCAGCGTATATTTTGTCGGCATGGTATACTGCCTAAGGCTACACTCGACTTCGACGCAGACCTTTCTAACCAATTTGAACAAAACTGATGGGGCTTTATGCAAGGTTATTTAACTGGAACGGCATTATCACGTTCATATCCTATCAAAAGGAAACTTACTAAGAAAATTTGGTTTCCTCTTAAACACGAAGAGACTGTGGCAATTTTACGAACAAAACTAGTTACAAAATGGGCAGAGCAGTTTAAAACTCCCTACGATGACTGCATATATTTGCCTTAAGCAATGAATATTGTCCTTCTGTTGCATTATGAAAGCAATTGCAAGGAACATGCAGAAATCGTTTTGACAAGTTTCTGCTTTTCAAGCTACAGTAATAAATGAAAGGTACTCTAGAAGTATGTTCGCGGCGTTCCAGTTCTAATATGATGCTTATGCGAGGGCGGCGTTTGTCTCAAGGAAACACTCCTTGAACCAGAGAAAACAATTATGTTTAATCATTTGTTGATATTATATGTAAAAAAGGAACTTGTTTAAAGTTTCCAGGTCTCCCTTTCTTCAGTAATAAAATTTTCCAAGGTTGGTGAACGCACACGTTTGCAAAATCCACAGTCCTCGAGTGTTGCTGATTTGTTATTTGTTGTCCCGTCTATTCGAGAGAGGGATATATTGGTAATTACACCTGAACCTTTGCCCCTAAGAGTGACAAGCATCTAATATCTCTCACAGTAGCATGCCTGAATCACGCATTAAGGTCACAGAGGTAAAGGAAATGACAACTTTAAGTGCCTATGCCATGAATTTTTTTTTTATTTTCTGCTTGATAGCTGTATTTAAAGTTAAAAATGATTGACCTTAGCAACTAGCGAGTTCCTCTTGACCATTTTTGTGCATTGAAAGTACGATTTGGCGGCCAAAAATTATCCCATCAAGCGCGGCCGAAACGATTATGTAACATAGCTGTGACAGAAAACTGTGAAGACACGTCGGCAACAATGGTGGAGAGAGAAAAAATCTAGAAGAAAGGACGAACGTATTGCTTGGCTGGAGCGCCAAATAATGTTAGCTACAAGAATAACACACATACACCGGGTATTTCTATACACTACTTTCCAAAGGATGTAGCTGTATGGCCAACATGGACGCGTTTCGATCGTCGACATCGAGGATATTTTACTCATCAATGTCGTCCGCGTTATGCTCCGTACCGGCTTCTAAGAGGGCTGTTACAAACACATACCACTAGTCAAATCAGGGGAAGATAACCATTGAATTCAGCCAAAAAAAATGCAGATTAAGGGGCCTGTTCCCACACCCTACACGATTGTTCAACATTCTTTTCGGCTGACATTTCGCAAGCGAAGAATGGTGAGATCCTTATTGTTGTTTATCTCACGCTTGAGATGTACTCATACTCCTTGTCTTTCCATATGAATACATTCTTGCTTTTATTATCGTATGAAAATCCTAACAATTGAAGTTTCCATCGCATCTTAATAACAGAAATAAAATGCAAGCCCTTTCCTGAGCTGTTCCATTCTATCCTGTCAAGTGAACAGTGCGAAACCTCTTGCAGATACTGGCATAAAAGCAAGCTCGAAGGGGCCATGTATTCTCCTAACCCAGGTTTCCGAAAATCCATCCCACGAGTCATCAGTTTCCCCCTGCCCTCAAGAAACTAAGAGTAGCCACAGCAGCAATGTCATCGTGATAATAGCATTGCAACGAGATAAATAAAGAAACACATATTTTATTGAACTAGATGGTAGCGAATCTAGGTGCTGTGTGAAAGTCCGAATGCATACTAAATATTCATTTACAATACTGATGTCAGTTATTTGCCATTGAGCGAAATGGGTCGTGTGGCAACGCTGCACTTCAATTAAAGACGTTTTTCTCCATTAAAATCCCTATATGAGATTAAATTGAATCAGATGGTGAAAAACTCACTCTTTTTCCGTTTGACTAACTCGACGACGATAGCCTCTTCCTTTGCAATCTCTAAGGAAAGGAGCACCTTGCTGTAAAACTTCCCAATGACTTCTCGGCGAAAACCATCGCGCCCCGTGATACAGCTGATTCTTTAGTCAAAAGTTAGCTTTTGGTTTCTTAAGGGAATTACCTCACGGCAACGAAACTCTAGAGTACTGACCAAGGGAAACCTTCGCCGCAATTAGTGCGACAGAATAAAATGTGATAGCAACAGAAACGAACACAGCCACTTATTCTTAACATT